AACAGGTAACATTGTTAACACATTACTTCCAGCCTCTGATTTTTGCCATACGTATTTTATTCCAGTCCATTTTGAATGTTCCCAAGGTAACTTCACCTTGGAAAGTATTGCACAGAGAGCCTCTTAAAAGTCATGTAGGCCTCCACTTGCAAAAATTCAATTGATGCCAGCAGCTAGTACAGTAGTAGCTGATTTTGAGGTAGGTTTTGAGTAAACCACAAATAAATTGTGATTTAACATAGCATATACATAAAATGGTTCTTGAGGCATTACAGGTTTCTATAGCCAATGTACGTTATTCTGTATGCATATTTAGTGCCAAAGCAGCTGAAAAGGCTCTCAAAACACATGTACTGTATTAGTGATTTAATCTAATTTAGATTATCCTTCATTGGGGTACTGCAAGACTCAACCCTGGGCCCAGTGCTCTTCAACATTTTTAATAATGACTTGGCTGAGAGATTGCAGGAAATACTTATCAGTTTTCCAGGTGACATAAAATTAGGTGGAATAGCTAATACCTTGGAAGACATGAACAAAAGCTTTCGATAGGCTTTAGCACTATGCTGATAACAACAGAATGAAATTTAGCAGGGATCAAAGCAAAGTTCTACGCCTAGGGAAAAAACAAATGCACACAATTTGTCAGGTACCTGTCTCAGTTGTACTACAAGTGAGAAGGATATTGGAATTGTAAATCAAAAGCAGGATATGAGCCTACAGTAAAATGTGGCCGCAAAAAAGGCAAATAATATTGTAGGATGCATTAACAAACCTATAGTCTCCAAATCCTGTGAGCTACCAATTTCCCTCTATTCTGCACTGGTTAGGCCACATTTACAGTATTGTGTCCAGAGGGCAACAAGGATGATCAGGAGACTGGAAACCAAGCTCTATGAATAAAGACTGAAAGAATTAGGCATGTTTAGCCTTGAGAAAAGAAGACTGAGGGGAGATATGATAGCACTTTTCAAATACTTAAAAGGTAGTCATACAGAGGAGGGGCAGGATCTGTTCTGATCATCCCAGAGTGCAGGACATGTAATAATGGGCTCAAGCTACAGGAAGCCTGAGTTAGACTGAGTACCGGGAAAAACGTCTTAATTATTAGAGGAGTATGACAATGGAACCAATTATTTTGGGAAGTGATTAGTGTTCCAGGCATTCAAGAGAAAATTGGGCAATCATCTGTCAGATCTGCTTTGATTGGTTTCCTACATGGAACGGGGTTGGACTTGATGCCCTTATATGCCCTTTCCAACTCAATCATATGATTCTATGATTCATTTCCCTCAGGGAAGAAATCTGTTAGTGGCATGAGAATTTGACTGCTAGTTTGAACCTCTGCTGGACAGCTGATGTGGGTAATGAGAAATATTTTATTATTGAAGGCTTTCACGGCCGGGATCTGGTTGTTGTGGGTTTTTCAGGCTCTTTGGCCGTGTTCTGATGGTTATTCTTCCTAATGTTTCCCCAGTCTCTGTGGCCGGCATCTTCAGAGGACAGGACTCAGACCTGTGCAGTGATCCCTGGTCCTTGTGGCTGGGGAGAGGTTGTTGGCTGTTTGCAGGCTGTATTTTCAGTGCTAGGAGCCAGGCCTTGTTGAATTTTAAACTTTCTTTTTTGTTGAAGCTCTGCTGGTGTTTATGTATTTCAATGGCTTCACTGTGCAGTCTAACATAATGATTGCTGGTATTGCCCAGTACTTAGTGTTTTGAAATAGAATTTTATGTCCAGCTTGTTTTAGGGCATGTTCAGCTACTGCCTATTTTTCCAGTTGGTTTAGTCTGCAGTTCTTTGATTCTGGTGTGAATACTGTGTTTTGTGGTTCCAATACATACCTGTCCACAACTTCAAGGTATCCGGTATACTCCTGCAGTGGTGAGGGGTCCCTTTTGTCCCGTGTTGACCATAGCATTTGTTGTATTTTTGTGGTGGGTCTGAATACTGTTTGTAGGTTGTTGTTTTTTTCAAGTTTCCCTAATCAAAGGGAAGCCATTGAAATCCACAAACACTAGCAGAGCTTCAACAAAAAAGAAAGTTTAAAACTCAACAAGGCCTGGTTCCCAGCACTGAAAAATGCAGCCTGCAAAAGGTCAACAAACTTTAGGTAAAGGTAAAGTTTCCCCTTGACAATTTTTATTTGTCCAGTCGTATTCAATTCTAGGGGGTGGTGCTCATCCCCGTTTCCAAGCCGTAGAGCCAGCGTTTTTGTCTGAAGACAATCTTCCGTGGTCACATGGCCAGTGCGACTTAGACACGGAATGCTGTTACCTTCCCACCAAGGTGGTCCCTATTTATCTTCTTGCATTTACATGCTTTCGAACCGCTAGGTTGGCGGGAGCTGGGACAAGCAACGGGCGCTCACTCTGTTGGGTGAATTCGATCTTACGACTGCTGGTCTTCTGACCCTGCAGCACAGGCTTCTGCGGTTTAGCCCACAGCACCACCACGTCTCCCCAATGAACTCTACCCAGCCACAAAGACCAGGGATCACTGCACACAAAAGACCAGCTAACGACACCCATCAATCACAGTGACAGATCATCTCTCCCCCTTATCACAGTATTACACCCACAACAAAAACACGCTGATGACTATAATCACCCGATCCCCTGAAAAGGACAAAAGCTGTTTCCACAGCTATAAATACTCAAATATCCACAGCTATAAATACTCAAATATCTAAACTGCAACAGAGCACAGTCAAAGTTCTAACTCCTGTTCTCTGAAGATTTCAGCCATAGAGACTGGGGAAACGTTAGGAAGAACAACCTTCAGAACATGGCCAAAGAGCCTGAAAAACCTACAATGACGAGAGACATTGTGTGGGAGAGTGGGCTCCACCTGCAAACGCTCTGTTAATGGAGAATTCAGCTTCCCAGTTAGAGGAATTTGATAAGCTAAAAGTGTTGGCCGTGTTATGCAAGTAAATTGAAGTATTGATTTATTGTTTTTTATCTACTGTGAAATAGAAACATTAATTCATAGCCCTTCATCTGTAGTGCTGGGGCTGTTTTACTTCACATAGATGACACAACACTTCCAATAACACTCTGGTTTATCCCCTCGTAGTGAAGTGTACTAAATCAAAGTATGCCCTGCTGCTGAATCCTTTATAATGAATAACAAGCCTTATTCCTTAACTGATTTGTCCTTCTGAGTATAAATTTCAAAACTGCAAAATAGTAACTTCAGTAAACTAGGAAATTATGTTTGCTGTTTGGAAACTGATCAAAATCACAAGCACATTTTGATTAGACTAGTAGGTCGTGGAAGTGGAATTGTAGGTCCAATTGCGCTGAGCTGTAAAATGAAGCTATGCCTTGCAATTTAATGTTAAAGGAACAATTGACTAGTTTTGATAGTGTGGAGTAAAGGATGCAAGGTTTTTGTTTTTTGTGATATGTTCCAGTTTTGTAAGCAGAGTATTATGTATGTGCATAGATGCGTGTATGATCATGACTTTGAAGAGTCTTCAGAAACTTCAGCAAGTCCAAATGACTTGGCCAGACAACTAACCAGGGGTTCCTAGGCACATACAAGTGCAGAAGATAGTCCATACAGTCTTATATGGTTTAGGTACCGGCCATCTGAAAAGCCATCTCTCTACATATAAACCTTCCAATTTTTAAAGATCCTCATGTTCCTTTTGGCCTCATAGGCATTATTTAATCAGGATTTGAGAAAAATCCTTTTTCAGTTGTGGAATGTTCTCAAGGTTGACCCTGTGACTGTCCCTATTATGGGGAGTGTTCTTTTTAAGCAGATATTTAGCAGTTAAATGGGACAAAAGAACGGAGTCTTATTGTGGGATGTTATATGTTTATTTGAGGCTGGTGGGGGTGGATTTAAACATTTTAAAAACTTTAATTTTTTTAATTGCTTTTTAATGTTCCAACTTAACTGTGCTTTTAATTGAACCAGTTTTTTTATCATTAGCACTGGGCCCCTCCACAATAAGAAAGGCATAGAAATTAAATAAATACCACCTTAGGTTCCCATTAGGAGGGAGAGAAAGGTTAGGAGAAAAGTTATATTAAAAAGTACATAGAAATAAATTGATGGAGAAAGGGTGACATGTTAACTGACACGTCCCCCTCCTTCCAGTCATGTGTACTGTATTATTTTATCCAGCTATCCACACGCAAGTACTGTACAATTACTTTTCCCATTCTGAAGACTAACTGAACATTTGTGCACCTTTAAAATTTGCAGGGCCTTCTCTAGGACAACATATTTGAATATCATCAGGGAGTAAGATTCAGTCATACTGAAAGAACAACATCCACAGAAAGCGTGTTAATTGTACCAAGTTTAGATGGAAGTAATTATATACTTTTAAATTACCTAAAAAGCTATCTAGATTCAGATGGATTCAGATAATTAATATATTTATGCTTTTCATTTTTAGTCCTATGTTGATTATTGTCTTTTAAGGCAGAATATGCAAGAACCTTTACCTGTGCATGGCAAACAACATGGTTTCCTTTTATTTCAGCGCAGTCTTGATGGATTCTGTCTATCTTAGTCCCATTTATTTGCCATCAATTTTTGTGGCAAAAATCTTTTTGCCACAATGTAGATAAATATGTCCAGTAGCTTGATGTGTGGCAACAGTTAGTTAATTTAAATACCCCCAAAGTACCCAAAATTTTACTTTTTCAGTTCTAACTTGCAGTCTCCTCTGTGAACCTTCCATACTGCTGGGAGGGAGGGGCTAAATGACAGTGATGTGCATGATAAAGGGCTCCAATTTTCAGAAAGTACCAAAGTGTTAGCCAGTTGGGACATCAAGGACTTCTCTGGAGTGTTGCTGACTGAATGCCAGCTGGTGGTTGGCAGATGTTTGTCCCCTTTTCTACATTTTCCTGAAATACTGAAGAATTCGGGTGCATGGGAGGTTGCAAAATCCGCTCCTACTTTTTTAGTTCAACTTTGGTTTTTAAAAATGCTATTCTCATTATATAGTTCTTCTACATGTACTAACAAAATTGCTATTAAAGTGGAAAACATGTTTATTAACATCCTTTCAAACCTTCCTGTACAAGGCCATAGAAAAACATCTCTGCAGTTTGATTATACAGAAGTGTGGCTACTTTCTATTTAGTTACAATTGTATATAATTCAGCTTTTTCATGATATACAGTAAGTAGAATCCTGTTTGATATTTATATGCATTCATTTTCAAACCCAATACTTTGTTTGATTTTCTGTATGCATAGTTTAGCAGAGTAATGCATCTTCCAATGCTCTGTATTAAGAGGTATATCTTCCCGGTGAATTAACAGCGTGCACAGAATTCAGTGTTTCTATAAATGGTGTGGCTTAATGATGCATTTCTGCATTGGTCCCCATCCAAATGAGGTGAACTGATATTGCACAGTGTTCCAATGAATACTTCTGTTACCCTGATTATTTTTCTTAGGAGTTGTTTAAGCTTAAGTGATGTTGCAACTTCTTTCACCTATTCTCACAAGGGCAAAAGGATAATGCAGAAGGCAACCCAATTGCTTCTCTGCAGAGATTAATGCCCTCTTTCCCCTCATTTGTCGGAGATGCTCTTGATAGAGGAATACTAAATAGACCAGGCCTACCTTATTCGTTCAGTGTTGTCTAGGAAAATCCCTCAAAGATGTATACTTTTTGGTTGGATTTGTAAGGTAGTACTTACCATACATGTAATAAATAATTGTGTTAACAGAATTGCTCCTTACAGTGTAAGCAGGACTATGGCAAGACTATGTTCATAAGATACTCAAGGAACATCTCTGAGTGTGTCATTTAAGTTATGAAGGTGCCTCTCATTACTTATTATCACTGTGGAATCCAGTTAAAATGCTTGTCTTCAAAAGACAAAGAATGAGCAACAACAACAAAAGAAACCTGCAGTGAGATTAAACTATGTAGAACACTATATGAACAGCTGCTTCAGCTGAACCCATGAGAAAGTCACAATGCGCTTCCCCTATGTACGTGTACATAAGAGCAGAGCTTTCTGCTCAGAGGAGTTCACGTAAGATGACTTGTTCTGAAGTTCAAACGGTATTTGCCACTCTGTAATCATGTTCATCACTGGGCTGTAGTTGGACCACTACACTCTCTTCAGTCATTCCATTTTCTGCATCGCTGCTGTCAATATCATCGTTGTCATCATCGTCATCTTCCTCATAGTCTGAAGACTCTGTCATGTTGGGATGAGAATAAGACTCTGACAGTGCCCCAAACGACTGGGTGCTAACAGAAGCAAGTGGCCTAAGCAGAGGAGTGTTTTCAGAGACTTCGTTCTCTTCCTGACTACTGTCTGTTTCAGAATCTGAATCCCCCTGGGAAGGAACCACTTTTTGTTTACAGACAGGACATGTCTTCTTGGTTTTAGTAAGCCAGGGATCCACACATTTGCAGTGGTATGCTGTTAGATGAAAGAAAAGAGGCATTTAAGCGTAAGTAGATGGGAATGATATAAGTAGTCCTTGTGGGGGATTAATGAGTATGATTTACAATAATGCATGGTCCTATCCAATCTCCACAACACCGATTCTTCTCTGGCAGCTTGTTTACTGATACCCACCCCCTTCTACTGTATTTAAAATCATAGGTGCCATATGTAACGTAACTATTAAAAAAACAAGCAAAAATTTATTCTTCATTCTAGCAGTATCTGATAGTTTGTTCATGTACCATGTAATAGACACCAAATGTAGGAGTAATTAAGAGGCTTGTGACTGCTCCTATGCTTTCAGGTGATATTTGAGATTAATAATGTATTTATTTCATTAAAAGACATAAAGGTAGAAGGTACAACATCAAAGTAAAACAAGTGTGGCTCTTCTGGCAGGCTGAATCAAATGCATATACTGCACTCATTTAGACATAGATCACTCCTGTCAATGTGACAAGCTAAGTACAGGAAAGGATTGTGTTTGAGAAAAGCTATTCTGAGTTTACAGGTGATAGACAACACACTACCTAATATTCAAGTACCAGGTTCTATCACAGTGAGCAAATAGTTCAATAAAAGCAATACATTTCTGGCTGTAAATCTTAACACTTATATAACCTGACTTTGATCTACACATCGAAACCAAGTGGAGGACATAGCAATTTGCAGATAATTATTTCCAAATGCAGCCAGGAAATAGCATATTTGGATTTGCCCTGCCATATTAGAAGCAAGTTTCACTGTACAGAGAATAGCATCATGCTAGAAGCTACCAACATGAAGCGATCACCGAAGCGACCAACATGAATTTGACCCAACTGCGGGAGGCAGTGGAAGACAGGAGCTCCTGGCGTGCTCTGGTCCATAGGGTCACAAAGAGTCGGACATGACTTAACGACTAAACAACAAAGAAGTATAACAATGCCTTGGTGCCTCATCTATGTCCAGCCATTCTATTGCTAGCCAGTTTTAGAGCTCCACAAATAAGCAAAGCACAAGAAAATTATTGTTGTTTGTAGGCTAGATCTATATAGCCAGATACGCTTCTGTAGATGGGGATTCTATGTGGCTTTGGTTTCAGTCAGTGTTACATCTATGTTTCATAACTGATAGGAAATCTGTCAAACACCACATTCATGACCTCATGCCTGCATTCAGCAGTGGCATGACATTAGGAAAAGTCTACCATCTGTTGCTTTGGAAAGTGCAGATTACAGTTAGTAATTGGCTACCTGAAACGGATGGATCCAAACCAATAGGGGTTTAAAATCAGCTGAACAAATACTAGGGGTGTGCACTTTCTTTGTTTGGGCTGCAACTCCCAGAATTCTCCAATAATTTCCCAGGCAAAATTCTAGGAGTTCCAGTCCACAAATAGAAATCTGCGGACCGCTACACCCCAGTGTTGTGTGAAAGCAGATTTGAGGAAGGCAGTTGCACATCCCACAAATCTCTGCTCATGATCCAGGTTCAACCCCAGGTAGCAAGCTTAAAGTGGTGCCTTTAAGATTAAGCTTTATTTTACTCTGAGCTTTCATGGATTATTTATTTATTTATTTTTGTTGTTTATATACTGCCCCATTAGTGCACAGCACTTTCCTGGGCAAGTTATGTATAAAACAAAGTGACAACATACAAACTAAATAAATCAGCCAGGTCCTAGCAAAATAAATAAATAAATAATAAAAATAAAAAACGCACCACAAGTCTACAATCTACTTCTTCAGGCATGTCCTCAGGGAAGGGCACCAGGAGCACAAATAAATAAATAAAATTTTAGAAAAGCTCAACCCAAAAAACAATGTCAAGACACCAAGAGTTTTTTTTAAAAAGCATTAACAACATGACAACAGAAACACACTTAAAAGGTGAACTGAACCCTCTGGCTTAGAGTATGTTTTTTCCCCAAGCAGCAGGGAGTCTAGGCCTACAAAATTAAACCTAGGGGCTTGTGTGCACATTTTGTCCAGCTTTAGTATTAGATTAATTTTTAAAAGGCTGTTGCATTTAATTACAAAATGTAGTTTTGATGCCGTGCACCTTCACTGGTACATTTTAACACCTTGTCATTACTTACCATGCGAACAAGGAAGGATTCTGAGCTTGTCTCCATCTTCATATTCATCCAGACAAATTGCACAAACATCATACTCGTCCCCTACAGAAGAAAATTTTGGATAAAAATTCCATAACAAAAGTTCAAGCCAAAGAATGAGCCATAATAACACCTCTAGGGTTCTCTTCCTAAATGCTGCTTGGCAATTTTGGAATATAAGACAGTTAGTTTGAACTGGTTATTACTTCAGCTATTTTTCTTGGTATTATATGTTGTTTTTCCTCACTTAAAGCTATTCATTGGTACTCTTCCCCCCCCCAATGTTCATTATTATCACTTTAATACTTTAAAGATATTTTTAGTATCTCTAAAAAGCTTTTCAAATGGTGCTAAAAGCAGGTTTATTCAATATCATAACACTGAAAACCCTTGAGCCTAATTATTGCTTGGGAAAGGAGAACCATAGGCCTGTGGCTGATGTTAAGAATGTTACATACACATAGAGAGAAACGTTCTAGCCTCTTTATCCCCCAGTTTCATCACCCTCTTCCAAGTGGAAGGCAGTGAGTCTCAAGAGAACCTCCACGAGGGCCTCTCCTCTCGAGCTGGAACCCTGACTTTTTTTCAACATCCAACTCATAGCAAGCCTCATGGATAGTAAGGATTCTTTCTTTACAGTGATCACCCTCCACATATATTGAGGGCAGTGGAAAAGATGATGGAGAGCTGGGACCCTCTTCCCACATGTTGAATACATGTGGTACTAGGAAAAACATGGAAAATGGTCTGACTCAATACTTGTATGGTAGTTTTTGCCTTAGTACTGGCAAGTTGCATGAAAAATGATTACAGGAACCAAAACAGTACATTATAGAGTAATAGTAATAAAATAATGTTTTCTGATTACTTAAAGCCTGCCATGATATTAGTCAACAAGGAAACTAGTACTCTGGCTGAAAGCTACACAGAGAACCAGGGATATTTCTTTTCTACCAGAAAGGGCTACAAAGGGGGATAGGGATGCATAGCCCTCCAACTGTTGTTAGAATGCTGCTCCTAACATCCTAACAGGTGCCACAAGGTTTTGCAGGCCAGACTTGATGGGAGTTGCTGCAAATCAACATGCTCATCACTCATGCTATAAAGTAAAGTGACCATTATAGAGAAAGCTAAAATCATTGAGAAGCATTGTAAGAAGCCCATAGTTACAGATTTTAGAACAGATCTGCATCCACTGCAGAACAGAACAGCAAGACGTTTATGAACAACATGACGATAGATTTCATTTTATTCTTTAGGTGTTGTGTGACTGGGCTGAGGAAGCCAACCTGACTCTCCCCAGGGCCATCCTTTCAGCCCCCTGAAAATATGATGTGCTGTGGAAGGATGGAGAGGAGCAAATATGTGAAAATTGAATGGAATTACTATCTACGAGTAGAGTCCTTTCATAAATAGAAAGCAGACCCTGAATCCAATCTATCATAAATATAGAAAAATGATGGCTAAAATCCTGTTGAGTGTCCTTACTGGGTGCAATGGTGATGTCATTAGCAGATGAAAATTGCTGCTGATGGAAGGCTTTCTTTGGCAATTTTGGGGTGCATACAACTTTGTTCCACTGTTTACGAGGCACATGTATCCTAAGATCACCTTTAATCAGCAGTGATTTGCTGCTAACAATGATGCCATAACCACTGTGCATGCAGAAGAGCATAACAAAATTTCAGCCACTGTTATAATAAACATACAGTGTGTGAAAAGAAATTAAAGGATATCAATTTATGTATGCATTTATTTTTCATGACTTGTTTCATTTATGTCTACTATTAGTAAGTCAGATCCACTTCCAGGTAAATGATACTTTAAAAGAATAATTTTTCACATTTAGTATTGTATAGAAAAACATATGTTACAAGCCAACATTTTCATGAACAAGATCCTACACAGGTACAGAATTCTCCTATATGAAATAATGTCCTTTTTACAATCTGCATCAGTGGATGCATATCTAGTCATTATATGCATTGACTACTTCAGAAGTATTGCACAACCATCCTAATGCATAAGAGACTTCACAGCAATTGTCAATGTGGTATTTTGCAGCTAAGCAGCCAGAATCCTGTTGTAGGTTCATGCCAATCTACATGAACTGAAGTAAATCACAGTGGTGAATTGCTGCTAACGAATGAGCTGTCACTTGCATTTTATTCACACAACAAAGAATGCAAGATTTGTAAATTAGCTGTAATTTACTGCTAAAATTTACGCTCTTACCCTTATGCTGACATGAGGTTATTATAAGATACAAAACAGATTGGGACTTATAGGAGTTTCTAGTATATGCAGAAAGTGTAATAAGCTATGCTCATAATGGAGATGGACAGTAATAAAATTCCTATATTAACCAGAATGGTCTAGTCAAAAGGAGTGTTTATGGTAGTAACTATAGAAGTTGATGAAATAATATTACAACAACTCTGATGAACCATACAATGAGTTTTACTACACTGTGCAGCCAGACAGATGGGCTAATAATGAACAATAACTCAATTAGGGACAATCCAATTTGAAGGAATAAGTCAATTTATAAATACCTGGTAAATAGCAGTTAATGCAAATACTGTACAAATCACTACTACAATACTATTACAACAATGCAAATAGTATACAAATCAATGGCCTTCCTGTTAGGCATGATTAACAGAACTCTACAAAGATAAAATTGTATTCAACATTTTTAATTCTTTTATTAATGTTACAAGGCTGCACTGTGGTTTGTATTTTTGTATATGAGACAAGAGTATGAGCACTCTTAATCTAATAATGCAAGGGTTACTTAGCATAAAATTAATCAGTTAATGCCTAATCCAAAACACTCAAGATTGCCTTTCAACCTGCCTTTCTTCCCTCCCCAGTTGTATGACCAAAACGAAGGTGTGTAGCTTTGCGTTTTTTTTTTTTTTTGAACTACAACTACCAGAATTCTCTAGGCAGCTCTGGACTCCTCTCATCGAAGCCAAGAACCCAAGTAAGAATGGTCTTCCTACCGACACCAATGAACAGCTGGGAGCTGCTATGTGCAGAACAGCCCCCTCTGTTGAAAGCAAAGTGGCTTCTAAATGAGGTAGTTTTCAGAATTGGATTTGCACTGAAGCAAATATCTCCTATTGTCAGTATCTTCTAGTGTCTTCATTTGTATCCCACCATTCCACTTCACAGCATTCCAGATCACTTACACACAAAACCAAAAAAACAAATAACCCATCAAATCAACTATATAGTATAATAAAACTGATTAAAAATTAAAAGGGCAGAGGTGTCTAACTGATATATGTCTTTATCGTATATACAAATTAGTTATATATTAAAAGGGAATTTATTTTAGTGTCGATTCCTGGATTCCAAGCAACCAGAATAGCACTACCTTGCAGAAGAGCACTACTTATGTGCAGGAGGCAAATGCCATTAGGTTCGAGGGTGATTTGTAAAAATTAGAGTGGAAAAGAGATCCCCACACAACCCAATGAGCACTGAGCTTGCTCAGTGGCAACTAGATGTCAATTGTCACAGGGGAGACACAACCTGAATTCAAAAGCATATCTGATCCCAATAGCTGGGAAGGCCCATGGGGGGGGGGGGAGAGAGTTGTTTTGATATTCTGCTACCATACTGTTTAGGGGTTAAAAGTAATAAACTGCAGCCTAACTTGCACCACAGATATACTGGCAACCAATGCAGCTAGAGCCAAAAGCGGTCACATAATCTGAAGACTGAATATCAATCAGTATTTGAGCTTGGGCATTTTGTACTAATTGAAGGCAACATGTACCTTTCAAAGGGAGCTCTACATCCAATGTGTTACAGAAGTCCAGTTCCAAAGTGACAAAAATATGTCATCATAGTTATATCTGGAACAGGGAACAGATGCAGCTGGGAACACCAATCTAAACTTGCTACAGTAACAACACATTAAAAAGCCAGATCAAGGCCTATTGCCTAATTTAACTTGATTTCTCAGCTGAGTCCAGCTCCTTCCAAAACAGACTGAAATGTCATGCCTTGATCACCATAAATGATTTTGATGAGGGTGCAGAGGAAGCTGATTATGAAATATGCAGATGAAAGGAAACTGAGGGATTACCCAATACCATAAAAAGAATCAAGACTCAGGAAATATTTAGGTTTTTTTTAAAAAAATACACAAGAAAGGCATGATTTGGCATGGGGAAGATCTGTCTTGGCAACAGAACCTTTGAAAAACTCTAGACCATGGAAGAAGGTTTTTATCATAGAATTGTATTGTCTCAGCAGGCTTAATGGGAGAGAAAGATAGATCCCACACGCTCCACGTATACTTGAACAGATTCACAATATTGTTGTATTGTTGTACAGAATACTGGTGAGGTGGTTTCAGTAGTGTTTGCTTTTGGAGACATCTTGTACAATGTTTCTCCATAGTATGTGCTGAAGTACTGTATACAGTGGTGTCTCGCTTAACGAGCGCATCGTATAACGACGAATCTGCATAGCGATCCCTTTTTCGGGATCGCTAATGCGGAGGCATAGCGTCAGTCCCTATGGCAAAAACTCGCATAGCGACGATCGGTAAGCGTTTCGCTTACCGATCTTCGCTTTGCGATGCCCGCGGATCAGCTCTTCGGCGGTTACAAAACGGCCGCCGGAAGCCCCAAAATGGCCGCACACAGCGTTTTCGCTCTGTTCCCTCGCTTCCCGAGGGTGCGAAAATGGCTGCCGCTATGGAGGAAACTTCGCTGAACGGTAAGTTTAGGGCCCATTGGAACGCATTAAACAATGTTTAATACGTGCCAATGGGTTTTTACATTCCGTTTAGCGATGTTTTCACATAGCAAGGGTTAATCCGGAACGGATTAACCTCGCTATGCGAGGCACCACTGTATAGTCGAGTATAAGCCTAGTTTTTCAGCACATTTTTTTTTTGCTGAAAAAGAACCGCCTTGGCTTATACTCTAGTCAGTGTCAAAATTACATGTTCTCCCCTGCAGTGCAGGTGTTCTCCGGACTAGCCCGCTTATCTATGGGCACCTACAGCCTCTGTGGGTGGTCCAATGATCCGGGTTAAG